TATTACCGATAGTCAATTAGTGACTGCCTTGTTTAGTGACCATTTGCAGTTAACGATAATGATGAAAAAGTAATTTTGAAACCAATCCTTGCTTTGTTGTGGTCAGCACAGAAATATTTAACATATTTAACACATGTTAAATGTTCATTCTATAAGTTCTTCATTGAATGAAGAACTTATAAAAGGAACAGTTTATTAGATTAAAAAGCTGTATATGAGATTAAATGAAATTTAAAAATACATTATAATTTGGTTGCTGAAAGGTAAAGAAGGCATTTATTTTGGTGAAGAATGAAATGTCGAAACTCAGGTCATCTTATGGTTCAGGAGTTAATGTGAGAGAAAAATGATAATAAAAAAAGTTCCTACAACCTCCCAAATCAGTTCTGTCTAGAAATTTTTGTTTCAATATATGATTTTTTTTTCTTTCCTTAGAGATTTAATACCAATAGTTGCTGCCCTGGAATATAATCAGTGGTTTACAAAGCTTTCCTCTAAGGATCTAAAGTTAGTAAGTATTAGTATGCAGAATGACTGTATCTTGATTGTTTGGTGGAAATGTGTTGTGTAGAATATATAATTATTTTAGAAGAGTAGTTCAAGTCTTCTCACATTTCATGACCTGATAGCTTGGGGGTGGACAATTAACTATCCCAAGTGGCCAAATGAGAAACTGGGACTGTCGTGGAGGGCTGAACCAGTGTAACCTGATTTGATGTTCTCAAACTCCATTACCTCAACTCCTCAGGTAGCTTCAGGCAAGGGGTGAGAGCTTTCTCTCCTCGCCCGTCTACAGCCATGAAAGAGCACACGAGCTGGACCCGAGTTGGCTCCTTCTCCTGTTCCCTGCAGCACATTTAGTTACATTTGATTTATAATTTCCAATTAACTTCATGCAGGCTGGACAAAGACAGCCAAAGGCTGGATGTGGCCTGCAGGCAATAAAATACCTAGGTCTATGATAGACGCTATTGCACCAGGATTATCTATCCGAAAACTGCTTCTTTTAGATCTTCTAAACCTATTCTTTTATCATCAAATTATATCTAGCCACTGTGTCTTTTATTGGCCCTTTTCCCCCAAGGATCACAATCAATGGCAGTTGCTTTTTATTATTTGTACTGAGTATTTTAGCTTAACCTTTGATATTCATACTTCTAGCAAGCGGTCTTGCTTTACTTTATCCATTATTATAAATATACTGATGTTACACACAAACTGGCAAATGACTCTACTCAGTGATTTCATGTAGACATTGAATAGGAGGGGAGAGAGCTGAGTGAGAAATATCATTTTTGTTTGCTTATTGTATTTTGAGACATTTTTAACGATGCCAAAAAAATCAATCCAGAGTTCTTAAACACTATAGTCCTAATAAAAAGAACACAATGTAAGCAGGTCTGTTTGAGAAATAATTCTGCTGCAATTAAATTAATTAAGTTGTGCAAACATTACTAACAAACATTTAATCTTATCAAATATTTCAGAAGAGAATATTCCTTGTTTAAGCAGTCTGGAAATCACACAGCCTTTTAGAAGGAAATTGGTCTTCTAGTCTAGGAAAATTCAAAAAATATATATGTTCAAAAAAGTTATAGCAAAGTGTATTGTTGTTTCAGATGTCACTGAAATGTTTATAGTGAACTTATTTTGTTTAGATGGAGCTAACAGTTATATTTTACAAGTATGTGTGCATATTTAAAATTGAATGAATAGAATCAGAAGAATAATTTGTATTTTTATTTGGACTCTTAAGTAAGCTTACAGTAGGATTCTTCAAGCCACTACTCACATATATAACTTTGTAACACTGGGAAAAAAGTGTTCCAGTTTCTGCATTTTATTTATTTATTTAATTTAATTTAATTTAATTTAATTTAATTTAATTTAATAATTTAATTTAATTTAATTTAATTTAATTTAATTTAATTTAATTTAATTTAATTTAATTTAATTTAATTTAATTTAATTTAATTTAATTATTTAAGTACCGCCCTACTCCCGAAGGACTCAGGGCGGTGAACAGCCAAATAGTAAAAACACATAAATACAAAATTTAAAAACAAAGTAAAATTGAATTAAACAAATTTGGCCCAAGACATATTAAAACCCCAATCGTTTAAAGCCAAATTAAAATTTGCGTAATTTAAAAAGAGGGGAGTAAAAAGGTCTTAAGAGCGCGGCGGAAGATGCGCAGATCCGGGATCCTCCGTATCTCCGGGGGGAGCTCGTTCCAGATAGTAGGTGCCTATAAATCTTAATTATTTAGCATTCTTAGAAGCTATAAGAGTAGTTCATAAAAAATTTTTGTGCAGGTTTCTGCCTGCACTTTATTCATTTTTAATTTTAAATAGAGCAGTTTTATATAGATAGTAGCATAAAGTTGGAGAATATTTGCAGAAGATTAAGTCTTACTAAACTTTAGATGCATTATGGCCTACATAGTCCAAAATCAAACTAGTACTAGAAGTCTAAATACATTAAAAATACATCTGGGCTTATATTTGTTTTGTAATGAACATAAGAACTTTCCTTACAACTGATTACGATCATTGTTCTAATATGAATAAGGCAGAAGAAACAGTATATCAGTAAGTTTTACTGAGCTCTTCATGAACTTGCCAACATTTCTTGTTATTAAGCTGTTCTAGAAAAAATATGTGTGATATTTTTACCTCATATGGGCTACATCATTGCTGACAAAACTTGGTTCTTTGTGGTGTAGTAGGCGGCACCAAACTGAATTTGTAGAGTTTTGTGACTAGATCACTGCATTAACATGAATGAATTCATTGTCTGTAATTATCTGTAATTCATGCTGTGGTTTTCTTGCACCACTATTGAGACTTTCTGTATTATTCAGAGTGGTACAAAAAGAGGTACCACCTCACCAGCCTCTCAACTTCTTGTATTGCTAATACATTTCCTTTGATTCTTAATATTGCATCATTGTTCTTATGACAGTCCACTGATGTTTGTGAGCAGATCCTAAGAGTTGTGAGCAGATCCAATAGATTGGAAGAGCTAGTACTAGAGAATGCTGGTCTTAGGACGTAAGTCATTCTTTTTAATTAACCAACATTAACGTTTTTAATAAAGCCCAATAACATCAGAGGAAGCTGCAGTATTGTATTGTGTTTATTGGGGGTCAACAACATTAAAACTGAGTTGGCATATTTACCTATTGCAGTTATTTCCAATCATATTTGTACTGTGGACAGCTTTGTTATAATTGCAAACTATCTGAGGTTTATTTTTCACAAGTCATAGTATGCAGATATAACATAAGCATTACTACTTGTTATAGTTTTGTGGGTTACTCTTTTGGTTTATTCATACTAGAAATGTATATAGGGTTTGGCCTTTTAGAAAATAAATCTCTAATGGAATGGCTTACCCTTATGCCACTTAGGGTTGGTAGGGAGGAGCCATTATGTATATTCATAAAGAAGAATATTTGTAGCTCAGGATTGAAATCAGGGGTCCTTGGTGCTTAGTTTGGGTAATGAAATCTGCAAGAAAACTAAGCTCAGAGAGCACCAAGGGACTCCTCCCTCCCCATGAATTTATAACTTAATATAATTATTTGATAGCGACTTGACTGTGTGATTGTATTGAGGAAGGCCTATTTCTAAATAGTTGTACAAAATATGTGAAATTAAGATTATATCATAATTATTAAATGTCTGCAACATAGCTTTAAAATATACAACATTCATATAAGTACATATGTCTATAAATGAGATTAGCAATCTTAAAAGAAATTAATGGACAAATGCAACCTAGGCCAAGTGAGCTACTCCTTTGGAGAATCCATCTGATGTTTAAAATAAAATAAAAATATCATGTCTGTTTTAAATCACTCAATAATGTGTATTAGAGGTATGCAATGATTTGGCTCTAGAAAAATGCTTCAGAGTAATGGTGATGGGTGAATGAAGCATCTGGCGGCAAGTCTTCAAAGCAGTTGCATCTTGTACTGGAATCACATGAAATACTGCGAATTATTTCCAAACTGCTGTATAATTCTAATGTTTATTACCTCATCAAAAATGGTAGAAAACAGGATATTAAAACATGGCATCTTTCCTGCCCAATGTACATTTGTTTCTCTGCATACTTAGTGTAGCATCCCACATATAAATCAGTTGTTGCAACTAACACAATATATGTGCAAACCCATGTACTTGAATGTAATATTCTAAATGCGCTCCTTAATTCAGCGTAACCTATAATCAGTTCATATTAAACTCATTAAAATGGTATAATGATATAATGCAAAATAAAGTACAATTTTTTATGGTTTTCTTTGTTTCTTAGAGATTTTGCACAGAAGTTGGCTAATGCTCTATCCCACAATCCCACCTCAGGACTTCATACAATTAATCTTGCTAACAACCCTCTAGAGGACAGAGGTACTGTAACACTTTCCTTTCCCGCTCATAATACAAGCCCAATAAGAGGATTAGTATTTTTCTTTCAGTTTTTCTTGAAATCAAATAATATTATGGATTCTATTACTGCATGGTAAATGCCTACAATTGTTAGTGAAAAACTTTTCCTCTTTTATATATCTATAATCACTTATGTTAGTTTGTTGACAGATGATGCTTACTAGATGGGACATGAATATCCATGGGAATAGAGGGAATGTATGTATGTTGTGTATGTTGTGATATAGTCTCCAATCCTTACATAACAGTTTTATATAGTTTTTATATTTTTATATTTTACTTGAACACCACCCAGAATCCCACTGTGAGGGAGATGAGCAGCTTTAAACTTGATAATTAAAACAACACTAAATATAGTAAAAAGTAATTACTCTGAAAATACGTTTTCACTTTTGATATGGGCCTCATTTTTATTCTTTTACAGGAGTATCTTCATTAAGTATTCAGTTTGCCAAACTACCAAAGGGGCTGATGCATTTAAATTTATCTAAAACCTCATTATCACCTAAAGGTATATAACAATTGGCTTAATTATAATGACATATATTTCTTTTTAAGCTCTATTATCTGAATATTTATTCATTTCATAGTTTTCCAAGGATAAGATAAATAATAAACTTGAATGATGTCCTGCATCACATAACTGTTTTGTCTCTGGCAGCCAAAATTAGCTGCAACACATTTTCACCATTGGATTCCTTCTACTTGATATGTTTGACCGCTGGGCATGTTGTATAATCTTGATATCAATGTCAGAATTTTACTAAACAAGTCCATAACAATTTGCTTCTTCTGTAACAGTAATAACTTGACTGGATTCATGGTGACTTCAGCACTTAAAAAGGCTTCATTGCTCAGACTCTGCCATTTCCAAAACCTGGCTATGGTGAATTCACTACATGCACCAAGACAGTGCACACTAAATTTCTTATTATAGTAACACCACCAGATTCTCCAATCTCTGGCAGGCCATTTGTTACCAAACTGTGATCTTAAGCAGTTAACCAAGGATGCATGATTACTCAGGCCACTTTATCTTGAGAAGTTTTCCAATTTGCTTCACTGATTCTTTCGCCACAAGATTTGACACTGCTGACTGGCCCAGTAAAGCTAGACTCTCCACTTCTACTCATCTGTTCCATACTGTTCTGTATTTCACATATATTTTTCTTCAGGATTCTTTTTGTCTGGCCTCTCAAGTTATTACAAATTAAAATTACAGTTGAATCTTGCTTATCTTCTTTTTTCACCTCTGAGTTTTTTTCTAATTTGCGGCATCTTTATATGCATATCAAATTATCCAGACAAACTTCTTCTGTAAAATATTTAATGATTTGTCATATAATAACAAGCCATATATTGATTTCTTTCATATGAACCAATCTATTCAATAAACCATTAAGTAGACACACCTTAATATGACATGTAAAAACAGTTAATGAACCATATGATTAGCTCTCTCTGCTAAATAACCTTCTTGGATTTATTCTTATTGATTTTTCCTACTCATCTAATTTGTTTGGTAACCTTTAGCCTGGATGCCTAATGGGACAGACTAGGTCAATTCAGTAGCTAGATGTTATACCTATTGTTCTGTAATTAATCCTGAATAATTAAAGTCTTCACATTGTCCTCTAATTATTGTTTGACAACTCCATTTGTGATTCACACTTACTTTGAAGATCAATTGATATTAATACAGGTAGTCCTCAATTTATAACAATTCATTTAGTGACCGTTCGAAGTTACAACAGTGCTGGAAAAAGGGACTTATGACTGTTTTTCACATTTACAACATTTCAGCATCCTTGTAGTCAGATGATCAAAATTCAGATGCTTGGCAACTGATTCATATTTATGACAGTTGCAGGACCATGTGATCCTTTTTTTGCAACCTTTTGACAAACAAAGTCAGTGGGGAAGCCCAATTCACTTAACAATCATGTTACTAAATTAACAACTGCAGTGATTCGCTTAAGAATTGTGGCAAGCAAAGTTGTAAAATGGAGTAAAATTCACTTAACAAATGTTTCACTTAGCAACAGAAATTTTGGGCTCTATTGTGGTTGTAAGTCGAAGAGTCCCTGTATTTGTACTTATGTGAGATTTAAAGGGGATGATTGTACAGAAATGATTGCTTCTTCTCAAAGCACTGTTAAAATAGTCCAATGTGAAGCAGCTATCCTTTGCTTTGCGAAACAAATACAAACCACGATTTTTTCTATTAAGGTACAACGATATCATTTCCCTTCTGTGGGAGATTGGGAATTATATTATTTCACATAATTTTGGAGCTTCCTCCAGGATAGCTTTACTAATAGAGATTTTTTTAATGTTAATATTCTTTTGATGAGGTGCAGAAAAAAAAATCAGTTTGGAAACTATACTTGCAGGAAATACACTAATTCATTACTGGACAAAGAAGCAATTTTGGTCCTTTTGTTACAGGGGTGAACAGCCTTTCACAATCACTGAGTGCCAACCAGCTGTTAGCTACCACTCTCACCCACCTTGATCTCTCAGGAAATATTCTTCGAGGTGACGATCTTTCAGTAGGTGTTCTAATCTAATTTTTTATATATTAAGACCTTTTCCATCTAATTTTTGTAATAGTTGTAAAATTACAACTTCTAGAATTTCTACCAAGAATGGACATTTCAAGTTTGATAAAATCCTCTAGGTGAAGGACATAACTAAAGTGCATGCTAGCCAGAAAAGAAAAAAATATTCATTGCAGATGCAAATAAATGGTGCTCTTATTTGCTTTTGCAAATGTTTGACTTTAAATGTTAAGGGAACATTATGCTAGTTGACAGAAAGATGGATGATACAATATGACAATACAATTATTTCTTTTTTCTTTCTTTCATTATTGCTTTAGTAAAATAATATAAGGCAAAAAATTAAAAAACAAAGGTGCCTAATATTTTAATATAATACATAAAATTTTAATATTTAAATTTTTATTTTAATTAAAAATCATTAGATGAAAATTAAAGTGGATGGATTATTTAACATCAAGGTTATTGATCTTCCAAAATAAGCCATTTTGTAATGTCTTAATGCTAAAATATAAGTTATTTATCTACTGTTTTGAGTTCATAGAGTTAAGATAGAAGTTCAATAATAAGAAAGCTAAACCTATTTCTTTCTCTTTCGCACATCTAGTCCCTGTGTAATTTTTTGGCTCAGCCAAATGCCATAATTCATCTGGATTTATCAAATACAGAGTGTGCATTAGATATGGTAACATTTATTACTTTATTATAGAAAATCCCCACTTTTATATTCCAAATTGTTTTGTCTGCATACTTACTATTTTATTCCTTTCCAATTTAGATGTTTGGAGCACTTCTTCATGGCTGCCTTCAGCATCTTGCCATCCTAAATCTGTCAAGGACAGTTTTTTCACACAGGTTAGCATTCAAAATATTTTGCATGAACTTGATGCTATATGTAGAGTTCTTAGTGCTGTCTGAGTTTGGATTTTCTTGCAGATGTTTCTTTATCAAACTAGGTAACAGCATCAGTGCTATGAACAACACTGATAATGTTACCTAACTGAGATTCATCAACTTGAATCTTTTCAAATATATTAATTTCCTGCACTGATATGGCAGGCATGTCATGCAGTTTTCATACATAGCGAAGAGCCAAAAGGCTATGTGAAAAGTTGTGGTTTAAGTTTGTTTTCAGTTCATTCATCCAATTATGATCATTGATCCAGGTAAAAACCATGGTGGCGCAGTGGTTAGAATGTAGTACTGCAGGCTACCTCGGTTGACTGCTGGCTGACTGCAATTTGGCAGTTCGAATCCCACCAGGCTCAAGGTTGACTCAGCCTTCCATCCTTCAGAAGTCGGTAAAATGAGGACTCAGATTGTTGGGGGCAATGTGCTGACTCTGTAAACCACTTAGAGAGGACTGTAAAGCACTGTGAATCAGTACTCTGTATAAGTCTAAGTGCTATTGCTATTAAAAGTGGTTAATGAATGTTATTCAAGAATAGTATAAAATATATGTAGTTCTTTAATTTCTCTTATGTATAATTGCTATACAACTATGGATCCTTTTGCTGACTTTAAAGGTCTTTTGAGTTTATGGAATATGACCCGGGTTTTTTTTTAATCTTCTTCAAAGGAAGAGCAAAGAAATTCCCCCATCCTTCAAGCAATTTTTCAGCAGTTCACTTGCTTTAATGCAAATCAACCTTTCAGGAACTAAACTTGCACCTGAGCCTCTAAAGTAAGCATTTTTTTTCTTTCAAGACTTTGTTTTATTTCATTGGGAAAATATTTTATGAAAACCTTACTGTGGTTAGGAAAATGACCCATATGTTTTGTGAGTTTGAGAATAGCTATTTGTCTCTCACATGGAGTAAATATCAGAAATGAAATATTCAGTATTAATTTGCTTTGACTTGACTTGATGTCCAATCTTCACTATCTGTAGGAGAAAGGGTTAAGAGCTATGTAGTCCTATATCTAGACTTGAATATAACAACTTAATACATTATACTAGGGGTGTCAAACTCACAGAGTCACATTGTCATGTGACGTATCATGACTTTTTCCCCTTTGCTAAACCGAGAGTGGGTGTGACCAGCACGGGATGCATCCAGCTCGTGGACCACGAGTTTGACACGCCTGCATTATACCATTTGTGTAGCAAAAAAAACTTTAATTCAGATTGAAAAACCCTCTGGGATACTTTACAGCATGGATGTCCAATCTTTTGGCTTGCCTGGGCTTCATTGAGTGAAGAGTCTTGGGCTGCATATAAAATATATAATACAATTAATGTATACAAATCACATAATAATATTAAAAATTTACGATTTGTAGGGCCACATTACTAGCTGTCCAGGGCTATGTGTTGACATGCCTATCTGTTTTTTTTATTTTTGGTTTATGAATTATAAAATATAGCAATTTTTCCATCTTATATTCTAAGTTGCTTATTTTTTGAAATATTTGGATATTTTTGTACGTAACAGTTTAAGTCTAATACACTTCGATGAAATTAATATTAAAATGTTTTGGAATTATTTAGAAGATAAGAGACATTGCAGAATGATGTTTTCATGGCATTTGTTTGTCATTATGTCGACATGTGAGACTCTGCTTAGTATGTTCCTCAATTTTCAAACCATAAAATAAAGAAGAAAATTTGGGTGCAGAGCGAAACTGGAGGTCCTGTGCATTTGAACCTCTCTAGCTCTCCATAGCATGGTTTGTCCTGAAAAAGCATAATTTATCTAGCATATCCAAATAAGGGATAATACACCAAATGACTATATTCTTAAAGAACAGCAATATAATTGAAATGACTTCTCTGATTTGCTGATTCAGTAAACTTTATAGCGGTATTCCATATAATTCCAATTTATTTTTCAGAGCTCTCTTACTTGGTCTTGCTTGTAATCAAAATTTGAAGGAGGTGTTTCTAGATCTGAGTAACTGTGAGGTAGGAAACATTTACAAATGGCATCCATGTCAAAATAATATTGCCCTCCTTAGATATATGATCCTTATACTTTGTACATGTCATCATGCTTAAAAAGTAATAAGTAGTCTTTAAAAGTACATTGAATTTGAAAAACCTGAATGTCTTTGATACAAGTGCGTTGATGAAGAGCAACAAGACATGGCAGTCTGTTCTGGAATAGGAAAGATTCAGATGGAAAATTTGATTCCATATGTAAATCTGCACTAAAAAAATAATTAGGTGTCTAAAATTTAAAATGTTCTCTGTTTTGTTTTAAATCAAAATCTTTCTTGCAGTTATTGGCCAGCATAAATCTGTTGTGTTTCTTGTATTCTTAAGTGTAAGGTCTCTTTAGGCTATTCTAAAACCTTACTTTTTATCACAGACGCAGTTAGTGTCTTCAGATAAAACGGCAAAATATACTTATCGAGGATTGCATACATATCAAACAGAAAGCACCGCAGCTCAGACTTCTCTGTCCAGACTCTCAGGATTTCATCACTGAAACATGCAAAAAAAATTATCTCAAATATATCCAGCAACAAACATCTAGCATACTAACTCTGAACCAAAGCTTCATTCCTTTGTATATTGTTGATTTTAATATATAAAATATTTTAGTTGCTCAGGGCTAACATTTTTTCTTTCTTTCTTTCTGCTTCCATTAGCTTGGTCACTGTGTAAGTACACATCATGGCTTAACTAGCAGCCTCTTAATTATTTACCCTTAAGCATCACACTTCCTGCCTATCCATTACACAGTTTTTTCTTCCATGCCTTTAGCTGATAACTATCTGGATGCTGATATTTGGCCACAGCATAACAGGTTTAGAGTGAAATGGTCAAAAAACAGGTATGGTCAAAAGAATAGTTATGGTCACTTCCAGCTATTTCCTGTGATAAAACTGGAAAATATACCAACTTTTAAATTGCCTTTGTCTAGAAATCCCTACTAAGCTGGGAATTCCCAAATGCATATGTACATTTTTATTTATTTAAAAACGACAGGCTTTTATTGTTTAATATTCCAAAATGGAATTAAATTTTTGCAGAAAACACCATCATAATTTCAAAGAATCTGCAACAACTTTTGTAGTGTTCATTGTTAATCTAAATTATGAAAGAGTGACCTTTGGGGTTGGTTGTTCTCAATCTTCATCCTATCCTTTCTAGGTAGAAGATAGTATCATAATCTAACTATGCATTGGCACCTTATTTAATTTTTTTTAAATTCCCAATCTAATCAGCATTATATTTCCTGTCATCTCTCATCCAAGTACTTACCAGATCTAACCCTGCATAGCTTTTTCAAGATCAGAGAAATGGGAAAGAGCTGGGAAGTTAAAGAGTGCAGTGGTGGTTAAAAGTTCTTGAATTTTCAATATTTCTACATAAAAATAGCCTAAAATGTGATCTGCTTTCCACACCTAAAAATTGGTAAAGAAAACCCAACTAAACAAATTAGTCAGAAACTGCACTTGTTCATTTATTCAGTGAGGAAAATTATGCAAGCTAATGATTGAGTGTGGCAAAACCTATTTTTCCAGATAACTGGAACATTGAACTAAACATTTCCATAACTATTGATCAGGCCTGCACACCAGCATGTTAGCACATTCTTCCTTCCAGAGCAGCTTCAGCTCAGAGATGTTGGTGGGCTTTCTTGCACAAAGTGCCTGCTTTAGGTCCTTCCCCAACATTTCTATGGGATTAAGATCAGGACTTTGACTTGGCCATTCTAAAGCATTAATTTTCCCTTGCTTTAACCATTATTTGGTAGTATGATTTGTGTGTTTTGGGTCACTGTTGTTGCATGACCCACATTTTCTTGAACACCCAATTCCTGCCTAGATACCCTGACTTTTTCCTATAGAAGTTGCTGGTACAATTCAGAATTCATACATCTGTTAATGATGACAAGCTGTCCTGGTCCAGAAGCAAGCCCAAATCATGAAACTGCCATCACCATGTTTCATAGATGGGGCAAAGTTATTATGCTGGAATGCATTGTTTGCCTTTTGCCAAACATAACACTTTATATTCAAGCCAAAAGTTCTGTTTTGGTCTCATTCATCCAAATCCTTCCAATAGCCATCTGGCTTATTCACATAGCCTTTTGCAAACTGTAGACTGGCAGCAATATTCTTTTGGGAGAGTGGTAACTTTCTCTTTGCAACCCATGCAAAGAGATGTAACCATGTAACTGCCATGCACACCATTGTTGTTCACAGTTCTTCTGATGGTGGTCTCATGAACACTGATATTTCCTAATGCAAGAGAGGCCTTTGTTTTGTTTACTGAAGTATAGACTTGTACTTGCACTTCAGAGTTTACTTCAATATTGCATGGCTCTGCTTGTTCTCTTTTTCTTGTTTCAATTGACTAAGTGTCAAGTCAGCAGCTTGGTGGCCAAGAGTCATGTAGAGTATAATTAAGTCTTGATTAAAGAGATTGTAAAACCTTGGGAATTGGTATGTAGGCACAAACCTGAACGTTGTTTAGATCAGGAGACCATTAGAATATCCATGGGAGTGGCTGTAGACTTTCTTTAAAAAGGATATTACTTAAGAGGACAATTTTTAATCAGTGTTTATCATTTGTAATGTGCCTTATTAAACATCAAATGGGTTAAACCACATATTAACAATTAATAGACATATGAACTACTGAAGCATATTTGTAATATTTCAGCCAATTGTTCCCCATTGTCTAGCTGCTAAATTATCTAATATTTTCTTTTTTCCTCCAGCTAAGATCAGCTGGTGCACAAGTTTTAGAAGGATGCATAGCAGAAATTCATAACATTGCCAGCCTTGATATTTCAGACAACGGTAAGGCAGCATATTGACAGTGATTCAAATACTGTACGGAGAGAAAACTGTTTAAAGAATAAAAATCATACAAAGTAACTCTATTGGCATCAAGCAAAATGGTTCTAGTTGATAAAATCTTTTGTGGTTTGCAAAACAGTTAAAAGAGGTTGTCAAAATGCAGGATAATAATAGTCTTGGTGCACTAGTTCAATATAAACTAAATACCATAAATCACAATGGATAATTTTTAGGCAACATTATTCTGGCTGCTCATGCAACAGTTTAGAAACTCTGTGTGGCATTAAAATTGTCTATTTCCTAATAGTTAATATTTTATGATTAAGCATACTATATAAATGCCTAGTATAATTCTGTACATCTTAGAAAGAAATGGTACAGAGGTTCAAATCTGTCATCCTAGATCAAGAATCTCATTGAAATCGGTTGGACTCAAATAGAGAGAAGTTGTAGTTCAGCAACTTAATAGCTTCCAACTCTCTTTTTTTCTCTTTATCTACTGTGTGTCAACAAACTACTATTGGAGATGGGATCATATGATCTAATTTTAATATCGTTAATTCAAATCCATTTTAAAATAGTACTGCATGGAAACATTATTTTAATTTTATATTTCAATCTAATTCTTAACAGGCCTAGAGTCCGATCTTTCAACACTTATAATCTGGCTTAGTAAAAATAGATCAATAAGACACTTGGCATTGGGCAAAAATTTTAACAACATGAAATCCAAGTAAGATTTTTATTTTTATTTTTTTTCATTTTTTAAAAATAAAAAATATAAGACAACTAAGCGATTTCACTTTTTTCTCTTGCTTGCTGCTTTCTTCAGAAATCTGTCTCCTGTACTTGATAATTTAGTACAGATGATTCAAGATGAAGATTCAGTAAGTATTTTTTATTATTTAATGTCATCTAAGGAATCATAGCATATCACTGAGTTTTATTAAACTATCAAATTATGTGAAAATATTGCTCATATGAATTTACCATTTCCAATTTATATAAAAAAAGAAATCAGCTGTTCTAAAAGGTATTATTTTAACATGTAAAATTTTAAAGGTCTATATTTCATTTTATGAAATATAGCATAACAGTCTTTGAAGTTTAATAGAAAATAATGTTTAAATATTCCTTTTAACTTGCAACATCAACCAATACTTCATTTTCTGAGTTTGTTTATTTGTTGTCATTAAATGGTATTATTTGCCTGATCTGTGAGAAGAATTTTGTTATTTAGTCCCTAATTGCTGATAATCAAAATACATGTCACACAAGATTTAGTTTATGATAAAATTATTTGAGCCAATGCAGATGAGGAGGATGGAGAATTATGTGTGTTCGCCATGTTTGAGTTATTTATTTTTTAAAAAAGTTAGGACACACACACACATACACACACACACACACACACCCTGTCTCCCTCATTGCAAACGCAAGTAGGGAATATTGAGAGAAGCTGGAGTGTTTACTTTCATGGATTTTCAAAGCAAAGATAAAGAGATCTTTAGAAACTAAGAATGTCTGTAACTGTTCTGTAACTATTCTCTGATAAAATATATTGAATGAAAACAGGTTATTTCTTAATAAATGTGCATTGAAAAAGTTCCCCAAATATTGAAGTACCTGGAAACGATCACAACTAAAAACAACTAAAAATGGACATATTTATTTATTTATGAAATTAATTTGCTACCCATCTCATATCCAACAACTCTGGGCAGCTTACGGCATAAAAAACATTAAGCATTAAAAACATTAAAATCAATCATAGCGGATAAAATCATTAACAAATAAAATCATTGATACCAACTGGAAAAAGAGGGAGCAGGATACATGAGTGGCATGGGGAGGTTGATTTGCTTAGAAAACGATAAAGGATAAGGGCAGTTAAAAGCCTCATTGACAAATTTGTATTTTTTGTAATCTTCATGTTACTGTACAGTTTATAGTTTCATTACCTTCACATAACTACAGTAGGAAGTTGAGGGATTTAATTTTAATTTACTCTGATACAGATACTGCTTGGTACCCCTCAACTATGACATATAATCTTGAATAAATTAAAAGATTATTCTACATTAATTTGAACAATAATGTGCATATAGCTGTCTTGTAAAGAGCCTTTAAAGATTTGATATGAGAGGCAGTTTTATTATTATTAGGTAGTTATAATCCAAATGTTGTGGTGGAATCCATTCATCCTGAAATGCTACATTTTTCCTCCAGCCATGTGCTGCATCTATACCAGTAATATCCGTGTTCATTTGTTAATTTCTTTAAGCAGTAATATTTCTAACCCAAATAATGTTTATTTAGATGTGTAGTATACTGATTTTGATTTTAGTTCTTCCCCAGAAACAGTCATTTTTAACTTCTAGCAGTCTTCTCTAATTTATCAAATCAATACAATCAGAGAATATGTTCAAAGCCCAAGTAAATACCTATTATGATTTAAACTGAATTAACCTGTAGGTGACCAGGGTAACTAATCCTGTTGGGGAAAGAGAACCAGATAATAGAGAATACTGTGATCTTTCAGGATAGCAAATGTGGATCAGTCAGCATTACTGTCCAGAGATATATAGAAGCAGAAAAAACTTGTTAAAAATAGACATGCAGGATTGTA